GTAGAGATGAGGTCTCGCCAAGTTGCCCAGGCGGGTCTTGAACTCACGGGCTCAGGCAATTCATTCACCTCAGCCTCCTAAGGCGTGGGATTACAGACTGAGCCACCGAGCTCAGCTAAAGAGTGCTTTTTGTTGTTGTTTTGAGTCTGAGTCTTACTCTGTCACCCAGGCTGATGTGCGTCACGGTCACCACAGCCTCGACCTGGTGGGCACAGGCGATCCTTCCACTTCAGCCTTCCACGTAGCTGGAACTACAGGCACGTGCCACCATGCCCGGCTTATTTTTTGATTTATTGTAGAGACGAAGTCTAGCCAAGTTGCCCAGGCTGGTCTCGAACCACTGGGCTAAGGCATTCCTCTCGCCTCTACCTCCCAAAATGCTGGGATTACAGGCGTGAGCCATCATGCTGGCATGCTCCCAGCCACCACAGCCTCTGCCTGCTGTGCTCTGGTGATCCTTCCACCTCAGCCTTCCAAGTACCTGGAACTACAGGCACGTGCCACCATGGCTGGCTTATTTTTTGATTTATTGTGGAGATGAGGTTTAGCCAAGTTGCCCAGGCGGGTCTCGAACCCCTGGTCTCAAGAAATCCTCTCACCTCTGACTCCCAAAATGCTGGGATTACAGGCGTGAGCCACCATGCTGGCATGCTCACAGCTACCACAGGCTCTGCCTGCTGGGCTCAGGTGATCCTTCCGCCTCAGCTTCCCAAGTAGCTGGAACTACAGGTGTGAACCACCATGGCTGGCTTTTTTTTTTTTTTTTTTTTAATTGTAGAGACTAGTTCTCACCAAGGCTAGTCTCAAACCCCTGGATCCAGGCAGTCCTCTTGCTTTCACCTTCCAAAGTGCTGGGATTACAGGTGTGAGCCACCATGCCTGGCTAATAGTGCTTTTTCACTGAACAATACAGCTTGGAGATCATTTCCTATCAATCCATAAAGAGCTCCTTCTATGGCCACATAAGTACTCGGCTACACAGATGGACCGTGATTTATTCAACCAGTCCCCTGTCGATGGACATGTACAGGATTTCTAAGATTCTGCTGTTACAGCAGTCCTGCAGGGAGCTGCCTTGTTGCTGCAGCCTCCCACATGAGTGCTGGTCGAGCAATGGTCCTCTCCCATGGCCATCTTGCTGCCCGGGGGCTGGTCTCAGAGACTGTGTGGGTCAGTCCCTCTGAGCGCCTCCCAAGGGTCTCCCCCCAGGCCACCTGCTGCTTGCCTGCTGCTCCCCAGGCACCCATGGCCTGGTCATCCTCAACCACGAATGTATCTCTGGACCTTCTTCCTGTTTCAACACCCACTGCCCCTTCCTCTTGTTTGTCTGATTAGGACAGGCCTCTGGCACATCCCCGAGACTTCTCCCTCCTCCATCTCCTCTGTGGACGGTCCCAGGCAAGAGGTGGAGGGCTCTCTGCACCTTGTAAATCCCTCGGGCAGAACAAGAGCCCTTTTGTTGGGGTCTGGCATTCTGTGTGAATCTGGTAAATCTCCTGCCTCCCCGGAGTCTAGCCTACACCGGGCTGCTTCCTGGGAAACACGAGTGGAATGAGCACGCTGGGGCGGAGGGTCCCCTGTCTTCGGGGAGAGGGAAATGTGCCAGACTACACCAGAGGGTCCCAGGCAGATTGGGGGAGCTGGAGTTGCTGGCAGAAGGAAGAAGGGATCAGCGTCGCGAATGGGGGCAGGGAGAGGCTTCTTGGGGAGTCAGAGAGGAGGTGAAGCAGGCGAGAACCAGGAGGGCAAAGGTGGGAAAGGGCGAAAGTGCAGTCCCTGGCAAAGCTGCAGAGATTGCAGAGAAGTGCAGCAAGTGACTGGGAAGCCCCAGGCGCCTGGGCCCAGGGGCGGGGCGCCCGGATGCAGTCCCAGAATCCTGGCCTCAGAGCAGCAATCCTGCAGCCTCACTGGGCCTGCTTCGCTGACAGTGACCCCTCTAGGGTTAGAGGGAGGGGACGGGAGCCTTGCAGCGCTGGGCGTGTATAGGCCCGCAGGTCATGCTTTACCCCACTCTGTCTGGTCAGAGTTCTCTGCCAGCCGCCCTTCGGCTCCTCACTCAGGGTCCTGCACCAGAGGGGCTCGCCTGGGACCCCTGTGCAGGAACTGGAAGTCTTCTAGAAGAAGGACTGATGCAAGGGATCCCAACTTAGCTGCACATGGGCGGCCCCTGGGAACTTAATCCCAGTGCTGGGGCCCACCCCAGACTGAGTGAAACAGAATCCTTATGGCTGGTGTCTGGGCATGGGGTTTTGAAGCTCCCCAGGGAATTCCATGGCTCAGCCGAGTTGAGACCCCCTCAGTGGGCACTGTGCTACTGAGGCATGCAAATCAGACCTGTGTGAGACCCCAGCCCCAGTCTTTCTCCTGCAGTCCAGGGCACCAGACAGCCTGCCAGGCCTGGACATGGCCCAGGGACTGTGGTAGGGAGAAATCTCGCTGCCATGTGGCTTATCCACGGTCCTAAAATGGGCAGGGGGTAGCCCTGACCCTAGGCTGTCCCTGCCCCTGATCCTGCAGGAGGAGGATGTCCTTGTCCGCTGGATGTCTGTCCTGGGCAACATGGCCGACCAACTCTACTACCCCTGTGAGCACGTTGCCTGGGCCGCCGATGCCGGGATCATCCATGTGGACTCTTCCCGGTGGTGGACGCTGAGTACAGCCTTGTGGGGCCTCTCCCTGCTCCTGGGAGTCCTTAGGTAAGTGGCTTTGGCCTGAGGGAGGTGTTGGCCTGAGCTTCAGGCTGCAGTCACATGGGTCTTGTCTCTTGAGTTTTTCTCCTTTTGTGGCAATTTCTTTGTTGTTGAACTTGTCTCCCAAACTGCTGTAACAAATGACTGTGAACCTGGCAGCTTTCGACAACACAGATTTATTATCTTACAGTTCTAAAGGTCAAAAGTCTGCAATGGTTCTCACTGGGCTAACATCAGGTTGTCCTCAGGGCTGGTTCCTTCTGGCTCTCAGAGAGAATCCAATTACCTTGGCTTTTCCAGCTTCTGGAGGCTGCCTGCCTTCCTTGGCTTGTGGCCCCTTCCTCCGTCTTCCAAGATATCTAATTTTATGGGACCACATGATCCATGGTCCTCTGACTCTCACCTCCCTGCCTCCCCCCGCTTTTTTTTTTGAGTCGGGGTCTTACTGTCACCCAGGCTGGAGAGCAGTGATACAATCATGGCTCACTGCAGCCTCAATCTTCTGGGCTCAGGCAGTCCTTCTGCCTCTGCTTCCGAAGTAGCTGGAACCGAAGTAGCTGGAAACACAGTAGCACAGCTGCATGCTACTACACCTGGCTAATCTTTTGATTTTTGTAGAGGCAAAGTCTTGCTGTGTTGCCCAGGCTGGTCTGGAACTCCTGGGCTCAAGCAGTCCTCCTGCCTCAGCCTCCCAAAGTGTTAGAATTACAGGTGTGAGCCACAGTGCCCAGTGTGCTTCCCTCTTTTAAGGACCCTTGTGATGACATCAGGACCATCCCAATCATTCAGGATCCTCTCCCATCTCAGGGTCCTTGGCTGCCTTTACCCGGTCCCCAAATCCTGCAGTCAGCTGCCACCCCAAAGAAACAGCCAGCAGTTTTGGGGCTGGCTTTGTGCTCCTGAAAACTGTAGTTGTTAGAACTTGACAATAATGGTTTCCTCCCAAACATTTTTGTCTTTGCAAATTTGCTGATTCAGAATCTCATGCCCCACAAAACACAAGGAGGAACAGAGTCCCCCAAACCCTATGTTTTAGTGGCAATGAAGGCCTCTCAGGGCCCGGGAGTGAGGCGTGGCTGCCCCTAACCTCAGGAAAGGCTGCACTTCCTTGGTCCCAGGCAGCATCCTTGTCTGCTATGACTTTCCCCAGTGACATTTTCATTTTACCCCAATACAGATGCCCTAATTATATGTATATTGTAGACAATCTGAAAAATGGATAAGTCTCAGAGCAGAGGATTCAAATCACCCACCACCCAAACCAGAGGCCCCACCCAGGTTAGACTTTGGGGCCTCTTTTCTACCCTTTCGAGTTGGATTCTCTTAGGCTGGAGTGCAGTGGCATGATCACGGTTACTGCAGCCTCAAACTGCTGGACTCAGGTGATCATTCCACCTCAGCCTTCCGAGTAGCTGGGACTACAGGCGTCCACACCCATGCCCAGCTAATTTTTTGATTTTTTTTTGGTAGAGATGAGGTCTTGCTATGTTGCCCAGGCTGGTCTTGAACTCCAGGGTTAAAGCGTTCCTCCCACCTCAGCCTCCCAAAGTGCTGGGATTATAGGTGTGAGCCACTGTGCCTCGCCTAGACTTTATTTTTTAGACTTTAAGTTCCCAGGGAACCTACAAGTTCAGAGAGCTCCCACGCATCCCCTGTTCTCCCCCTCGCCCCGCCTTACAAGTCTCCACAGAAGGGGTTACGATCGATTAATTTCCATGGACACATCTTCATCACCCCAAGTCCGCAGTTCACTTGAGTGGTCACTCTTGGGGTTGTACATTCCATGGGTTTGAACAGGCATATAATGATATGTCTGCCATGACAGTATCACACAGAGTAGTTTCACTGTCTTTCAGTGCACCTCCTACTATTCTATGCATTTTTATATTTATTTTATTTTGAGTCGGAGTCTCACTCTGCTGCCCACACTGGAGTGCAGTGTCATGTTCACTGCCACCACAGCCTCAACCTGCTAGGCTCAGGTGATCCTTCTGCCACAGCCTTCCAACTAGCTGGAACCACAGGTGTGAGCCATCACGCCCGGCTAATTTTTTTTTGGAGTTGGAGTCTCACTCTATTGCCCAGGCTACAGTGTAGTGGCATGCTCACCACCACCCTAGCCTTGACTGCTGGGCTCAGGTGAAACTTCCACTTCAGCCTTCCAAGTAGCTGGAACTACAGGCGCATGCTACCATGCCCGGCTAATTTTTTAAAAAATTTATTGCGGAGATGAGGTCTCACCAAGTTGCCCAGGCTGGTCTTGAACCCCCAGGCTCAGGTAATCCTCTCGCCTTGGCCTCCCAAAGTGCTGGGATTACAGGCCGAGCCACCACTCCTGGCCCTAATTTTTTAATTTATTGTAGAGATGTGGTCTCACCAAGTGGCCCATGGCTGGTCTCCAACCTGTGGGCCCAGGCAATCCTCTCACCTCTGCCTCCCAAAGTGCTGGGATTACAGGCATAAGCCACTGCGCCTGGCTTATTTATTTGCTTTTAGTCGTGGTCTCATTCTGTTGCCCAGGCTGGAGTGCAGTGGCACAATCATGGCTCGCCACAGCCTCGACCTCTTGGGTTCAGGTGATCTTTTCTCCTCAGCCTCCTGAGTAGCTGGGATTACAGACACCCAGTTTTTTGATTTTTGCTGAGACTATGTTGTCCAGGTTGGTCTTGAACTCCTGGGCTCAAGCGATCCTCCCGCCTCAACTTTCCAGTGTGCTGGGATTACTGGCATGAGTCACTCTGCCTGGTTTAGATCATGCAGTTTTCCATCATTTCTTTGGATCTGGCGTGAGCAGGGGTGAGAGCAGGTCTGAGTGGTCTGTCCTCAAGGGCTTAGGTGTCAGAACATCCCCTGGGAGGTTAAAGGGGACACCTGGGCCTGGCGCTCAGAGCTTCTGATTCTGACGGTCTGCGGGGTCAGAAGTGGGAGTTTTGCCCTAGTCCCCCATAGGACTACCATACTACGGGCACTGCCCTGTGTCCTGTGCCCTGGGGAGGTATGTGGTGGCCAGGGGAGGTGCAGGTGCCTGGTGAGGCCAGGGAGGCCGGGAGTTCCGTGCTCAGCCCGAGTCACCAGGGAGCAAGGGAGACAGCCCACTGGGCTACAGACACCAGCCCTGGAGACTCAAAGGGGGCTTCTAGACTCACCTCAGACAGGTCCGGCCAGTGCCCAGGTGGTCCGTGTGACGGGGGAGAGGCATGGCGCCCATTTTCCACATGTAGCAGGCGAGGTGGCCAGAGGGGAAGCAGTGTCCCCAGGGCAGGGAGAGGGCTGGTCACTTGCTGGAGACTCAGCCGTCTTTGCAAGGGTCCTGCGGGTGCCACCAGAGACCTAACCAGCATGCTCCGCCCATGGGCTCTGGTGTTGCAGGTCCCTGCGGGTGCTGCTGAGGCTGAGACGGACGCTACGGAGCCCTACGGTGGCCTTCACCAGGTACGACACCTGGCAACCACCCAGAGCATGGCCACCCAACCACAAGCATGGGCTCCCGGTTCAGAGCCATTTCCATGATCAGCCCACCCTGCGCAGCCCCTGCTGGCGTCTGTGGTATGCAGGTCACAGGACCTCACCGCGGCCTCTGGGTGGGTGGTGGCACCTTGTACACGTGGGGAAACTGAGGCTGCCTCCAGGGCTGCGCCCCCAGAAGGGAGCCTGATCCGTCAGTTTCCTGAGGACAATGGCCACTGTCATGGCAGCATCCTGTGAAAGTAAAGCTGGGCCCGGCTTGGAGCCTGCCTGCCCAGCAGCCCATCTCCAGAGGTGCGAACTTGAGGCCTAGGTGCCTGGCCCATGCCCTGTTGGTGCTGGGGGCGTGAGGGGTCACAGTCCCCGAGGGGGTCAGGGTGGCCACGTGGGCCCTGCCGGTTCATGGGGGACTTCAAGGGCAGGCATGACCCTGAACAGCCCCTCTCTGCCCCGCAGCCGGCTGCCCCGGAGCAAGCGGAGGGCCATCGAGGCGCAGATGCAGTCGGAAGTGCTGACGCTCCTTAGCAACCTGGCCGACCTGGCCAATGCTGTGCACTGGCTGCCCCCGGGCGTCCTGTGGGCCGGCCGCTTTCCCCCGTGGCTGGTGGGCCTCATGGGCACTGTCTCCTCCGTCCTCAGCATGTACCAGGCGGCCCAGGCCAGCAGCCAGGCCGACGCTGCCACCCCCTGACACAGCCACGGCCCACAAAGGGCACCTTCCCACCAGGCAGAGTCGCCCCTCCTTTGAGTCACCTGTGCCCACGGGTGGGCTGGAAGGGCTGGGCAGGGTCCCCCAGGGCCAGCCTGGGTCTCAGTGGGGGAGGCATCTCTCAGCGCCACAGGGGAGGACCCCGGGGCTCTCGAGCCCTGAAGAGGCCTGGAGGCCGACCTGGGTCAAGGCAGAGCCTCCATCCACCATCCTGGGTCTCAGGTCCAAATAAAGGCCAACAGGAGGGCGTACGTTGTACTTTGGGAAAGCTGGAATGAGGGTGAATTAAACGCTGGTACGGGTGGCAGGCTCCGTGTGAGTTCATTACACTGCTGGCTCCTGGCCCCTTGCCATCTGACACCTGCAGGCCCACGCTGGCCAGGCTCGCTCACACCGGCAGACAGTCGCCTCAGAAACCACGCTGCCCAGTCTGCAGTTGGGGATGCCCTTCACCTGGTGGGTCCTCCCAACTGAGTGGACACTGCTTGCTGCTGAGTGGCCTCTAGCCATTGAGGGCTGATCTCCACTCTCCCTAGTTCTTGGCACACCACTGGAGGTCTGCCACCTGAGGGGGGTGCTTACCCCCGCCTCACGCTACGTGCGCCCCAGAACCAGGACCGCTGTGAGCACGTCATGGGCACCATGCTGGGGCTGGGCCATGCACGTCAACATCGCTAAAACACTTGAGGCTCCTGCCTCAAGGATGCAGGAGGATGGACTCTGCTGAGGGCTAAGGCTGTGTGTGTGTGGCCTTAGGCAGGTGTCAGCAGACTGCCTGGCCCAGGAAGACCCAACACAACAGGTGGTGTTATGCCCTTGAGCCTCACACTACAGGAAATGCACTGTGTATTAATTTTAATTTTAGGCCAGGCTCGGTGGCTCAGGTTGTAATCCCAGCACTTTGGAGGGCCAAGGCAAGTGGATTGTCTGACCCCGTGGGTTCGAGACCCGCCTGGGCAACTTGACGAGATCTCATCTCTACAATAAATAAAAAAAATTAGCTGGGTGTGGTAGTGCACACCTGTAGTTCCGGCTACTTGGAAGGCTGAGGCAGAAGGATCGGCGGAGCCCAGCGGGTCGAGGCTGCGGTGGCTGGGAGTGTGCCACTGCACTCCAGGCTGGGTGACAGTGACTCCAACTCAAAAAAAAAAAAAAAAAATTCCCCAACTTGCTCATGGAAGGTATGCAGTTCTGTGGTTTTCAGTATATTCAGGAGCATCTTCATCACCCCAGAAAGACCCTGCACCCCTTAGTCATAAGCCCCCTTGCTCCCCCAGGCTTGGCGACCACTTTCTGTCTCTATAGATGTGCCTGTTCTGATCCAGTGGTCTTCAGCCTTTCAGGGGCTGGGAACGGACCCTTTTGAGACCTCCTTAAGGACCATGGGCCCTTTTTGTAGGACATTGCATTTCAGGTGTCCCCAGAGCTCCCAGGGGCCCGTGAGGTGTGCTGAGGGAGGCTGGGAGCATCCCGGAGAAGCGGTCGGCCAGGTGGAGTCAGGGGGCTGCTGGGGGGGGGGGTGCTCAGCAGGGTCCAGACCAGAAAAGGGCAATCCAAGGCCCCCCACCGACAGGTCGGCACCCTGGCTTGCTGGCCAGGCAGGGCAGCAGGCCTGGCTTTCTCAGCCGGCCACCTCCCACCTCCTGCCCTTTCTGGATGGATCCATGCCCTCACAGCCCCTGCCTGCCCCTCCTGCAACCCAGGGTCTCCCACAGCCGGCCCCTAACCCAGAGGCATGAATCCAGTGGGCACCACGACATGTGAAGACAGGTGTGCATCTCTCTGTAATGAGGGTCCTCGCTTCCATCAGCTGCCCATGGGGGTCTTTGACCCTAACTCCACTTAAGACACTACCACCTGCACTTGCTCAGTGTGTTTGGGGGCAGGAGAGAATGAGAGACAGAGGCAGAGACGGCCAGACAGAGACAGGGAGGCAGACAGGCAGAGAGAGAGAGAGAAAGAGAGGGAAAGAATGAGTAAGAGAGAAAGATAAGAGAGGAGAGAGAGAACGAGAGGAGAGAGGGAAACAGAGGGAATGTGAGAAAGAGGAGCCTTCAATGTCCACTGTCGGGAACTGGATCAGCATGCTGCAAACTTGGGCCCACCCACCCAGCGATGGAAAGGAACACGCTGATGTGCCAACACAGTGAACCCAAAGAACGCTACGCTGAGTGGACAATGCCAGGCATAGGACGCCAGACACCCACCACGGGATACCATGTTCTAGAACAAGCACCATCAAGCCGAAGTGATGGGAAGCAGGTCAATGGATGCCCCTGTGGGGGAGGGCCAGGAGGGAAAGCTCTGGGGGGAAGCGTTCTAGATCTTGATGGGGTGAGGGTTACCTAGCACATCCCGGTCAGAACCTATCTGACTAAGCTTAAGAGCTGTGCATTCTGCTACTTTTTTTTGAGTTGGGGTCTTACTCTGTCACCCAGGCTGGAGTGATTCTTTTGCCTCAGGCTTTCGAGTAGCTGGGACTACAGGTGTATGCCACTGGGCCCAGCTAATTTTTTATGTTTTTGAAGGGATGAGGTCTTGCTATGTTGCCCGGGCTGATCTCAAACTCCTGGCTTCAAGTGACCCTTCTGCCTTGGCCTCCCCAAGAGCTAGGATTATAGAGGTGTGAGCCACAGTACTGGACCTGATGCATGTTAATGACGCCTCAATCAGAAAAGGGAGCAAATCAGCTTGCACGGTGTCTCCCGACGCCCCGGGCAATCCTGCCACATGGAGCCACACAGGACACACCCTCACCCCTCTGGACCCCACCAGCAGTGCAGGTGTTAAAGGGCGTTTTTTTTTGTTTTTGAGTTGGAGTCTCACTCTGTCACCCAGATTGGAGTGCAGTGGCCGCTCCCCGCCACTGCAGCCCCGACCTGCTGGGCTCCGGCGATCCTTCCGCCTCAGCCTTCCAAGTAGCTGGAACTACAGGTGCGTGCTCCCACAACCAGCTAATTTTTTTGATTTATTGTAGAGATGAGGTCTCGAACCCGCGGGCTCAGGCAATCCACTCACTTCAGCCTCCCAAAGACACGGGATTACAGGCTGAGCCACCGAGCCTGGCTTTGTTTTTTTGTTTTTAAAGCGGCAGGGTCACACTCTGTCACCCAGGCTGGAGTGCGGTGGCACAATCACGGCTCACCGCAGCCTTGACTTCCTGGGCTCAAGCAATCCTTCCACTTCAGCCTCCCATGAGCCACCGCGTCCGGCCCTAGTCAATTATTGATAGGAAATCCTCTTTGTTCATAAAGTGTCGTTTCTGTCTCCTCATTGGACCAGACTTGGGCAAGGTGGAAATGATGACTTAGCACTCATAGCCAAGCTAGCCTCTCACGCCAAACAGAGGAACTGAAAGTTACCCTCTCAGTAATTATTTTGTTCTTAAAAAATTTTTCTTGCCTGGGTGTGTTAGCTCATGCTTGTTAATCCTAGCACTTTGGGAGGCCGAGGCAGGAGAGCAGCTTGAGCCCAGGAGTTCAAGAGCAGCCTGAGCAACATAGTGAGACCTTGTCTCTACAGAAAAATCAGAAAATCAGCTGGGCATGGTACAGGTGTATATCTGTAGTCCCAGCTACTTGGGAGGCTGAGGCAGGAGGATCCCAAGCCCAGGAGTTCAAGGCTGCAGTGAGCCATGATTGTGCTGCTGCACTCCAGCCTGGGCAACAGAGTGAGACCTCAACTCACTTAACAATTTTCTTTTTTTTTTTCTTCTTTAAAGCCCCTCCATTTTAGGATTGGTGGTTATTTTGGATTAAAAAAAAAAAAGAAGGCGGGTGTGGTAGCTCATGCCTGTTACTGTAGCACCTTGGGAAGCCAAGATGGGAGGACCATTAAGCCTAGGAGTTTGAGATCAGCCTGGTCAACAAAGTGAGACCTCATCTCTACAAAAAAGAAAAAGAAAAAGAAACATCAGCAAAGCTGGGCTCTGGAGGCTTCACAAGTCTGCATATCAGCAGTGGGCAACCCCCTCTGCCAGCCTTCAATGCCCCCCGCTGTGAGGTCACACCCCTCCCCTGGGGCCAGCAGCTCAAGCTCCTCTGGGGTGAAGAAAGTGAATCTCTGGGGGCTGGATCTGAAAGGACCAGTGTTCAAGCAATAGGAAGGAGACACCATGTATGGCCATTGGGGCCCACAATCCTCCAGGGCTCTGATGATGGCGAGGGGGGTGGTCTGCGCTGCTCAAGAAGCTTCACAGACTCCCCGTCTGGTAAAGGGAGGCCTGGGCGCTGCAGGGAGCTCCCGCCAGCACCTGCTGCTCCTGCAGACGCCTGGGCAGGAGACTCTTCTGAAAAAGCCCAAGAACGCCCATGTGCCACAGCTCATCTCAGACACGTTTATTGCTAGACTCGGGTCTTCCGTTCTAAGGCGGCTCTGAAATGCCCACGGTAAGGGGATGTCACCATCACTGAAGACAGAAGCAGCAGGTGGACTACGATCGTGGGCACCACTGATGCGGACACGCACAGATCCCACAAGACACGGACACTTGCTCGACCATCAGCTGGACAAGGAACATCGAGTCCACCCAGAAGTGATCAAGGGGGACTGGGGAGAGTAGGACCGACCTGTGATGCTGCCCTGCTGTGTGGCATCACCGAGACCCTTGGCCGTGTGGTGGGGGCGTGCCGATTCCCACCACGTGGCCGAGAGAATTTCCTTGAGTCTCTCCTGGTTCAAGGAATTGGGGCATCTCGGAGGGCTGGACCAGAGTGCAGGCGAAGACTGGGAGACTGCACGGCGTGGGGGTCGGGAATGTTCTCTCCAGATAGCACAGGGACATACAGTCAGCTTTTCTAAAGTGCTCCAATACTTCTCAGTATAAAAATACAAAACACTGATTATAAACATGGCACAGATGAGATTTGACGGGGGTGAGGATGCCAGGGCCACAAGGTCGAGGGTGCTGCTGATGGCAGAGGACCAGGTGGGTGAAGTCGAGGTCCTTGGAGGGGCTGAAGTCACCCCGGGGCCTTGGCTGGGGCGGCGGTGTCCGGACTCCTTCCTGGTGTGTACCTGCTCCTGCCCTATCCCCTGCCGAGCCCACAGCACCAAGCAGGTGCCTGGGCCATGGGGGCCTGTGCTGCTGCTGGTGGGAGCAGTTCCTGCAAAGCACCCCCTACTGTGTCGGGCATCACAGGGGCATTCTGCTGGTGCACTGGTAAAGGCCGGTTCCTGGCTATGGTTACCCAGGGTGTGGGGTTCACATCTTGCCACCCATGCTTCAGGGGGCTGGAAAGGCGCCTCGCCCCCACGCCAGGCAGCAGGCTCGAGCCTGGCCACAGCTGAACATGTATCTAACCACCTTTGGACGTCCCCATACACTTGACGCCACCCCCAATGCCCCCAGCCCATTCCTCCAGGGGAAGTGGCCATGAGCCATGATGGGTCCCTGAGGTGAGGTGCCCACACGGTGGGCGCATGTCTCCTCACTGGAATGTCTTCCGGCATCTCCTCCTGATGCTCCAAGGTGCGGTGCCCTCCACTAGCCTGGGACTTCCTCCCGGCAGCTCTGGATGCCAGTTCATTTCCTGGGGGCTGAGGACTTCTGCCTGGGGGCCATACCCAGCACACGTGGAATGGTGGGTGCCCGCTGGCAGCAGAGTTTGGGAACCAGCAGGTTTTAAAACCAATGCCAAGTTAAAAAGCAGTCAAGGTCAGTCCCTTTCTTGATAAGCTTCTGAACTCACAGAACCCTCCTGGAGCCCACTGGCAATCCCTGGCTGGCTCCGCCCTGTGCTGGCTCACTCAGGCCCTGAGGTTCGCAGGGAACCTGCAGGGGTCTCTGCTTTGGAAGTGGATTCTGCCTGACTGTGGGGACAAGCACAGTTGGTACCCTACCCGCTCACTCCAGCATCTCCCAGTGGTCCTGCTCAGAACCAGGTCTGTCCTGCCCTGGGCTCCCTGCCTGGCAGACACAGCCTGGAGTGGCCCTCCCACCATCCAGGCATGGTGCTGTGGCTTCACACAGCTCCCTGGTTTAGCTCTGGTTCAACCTTCCATTAGAAACTTTCCTTTTTGAAAAAAAAAGAAGAGGTTAGAAAGTGACTCCGGCACCGCCTCAGTCCTACAGAAAGAGCCGAACCAAAGCACCAGCAGGCCAGCCCAGCCCCGTGGTCATCAGTGGTTGGCTCGGGAAGGGAGAGGGACAGCTGGGCGGGCACAGTGACCCCACGGGGGATCCCAGAGAGTATGGAGCGTGGACGGGGCAGGGAGGGGTCTGCACCTCGAGCTACGGCCCTCTTAGAAGAAGATGACATCCTCCTTGGTAGCTTCCTCCTTGGTGGCGAGTGGTGTGGCCGGCAGCAGAGAGGGGGACACAGGTGGGAAGGACAGGCCCCCTGCCTTGAGGGAGAAGCCCTCAGGAGGGCCATCAGCTGGGGCTGGACTTGGGATGGGGAAGCAGGTGTCTGGAACAGAGAGGGGAGTCGGGCTGTCAAGAGCTGCTGGGTGTTGCAGTGTTCCTGCTGCCTTGGGGGCTGGGCTCACCTGGCGGGGCTGGAGGCTC